TGTGTGTGTGTGTGTGTGTGTGTGTGTGTGTGTGTGTGTGTGTGTGTGTGTGTGTGTGTGTGTGTGCGTCTGTGCGCCCATCATTGCCCAACGTGCCCGTGTGCCGCCCATGCAGGCAAGCACCACGGCGTCATTCTCTTCCCCGAGGGTCTCATCGAGCACATTCCCGAAGTCGCCGCGCTGATCGAGGAGATCAACGAGCTCATCAACATCGGCGTGCCGTCCGAGTCCGTCGCGTCGCGCCTGTCGCCGTGGTCGGCGGCGCTCTTCGCGTTCATGCCGCCCTTCATCCGCCACGAGTTCGCGGAGCACCGCGAGGTCGACGGCTACATCCGCTTCTCGCAGGTGCGCCTTCCGCTATCCTCGGCGCCACCCCTCCGCCTCCGCTCTCCCCCGCCTTTCGCCCCATCGCCTTCCTCCCGTCCGCTTTCCCCCCTTTGCTCGTGCTTGGCCGGTCACCTGACCACCGTTCATGCTCGCTGTCCATGTTTGAAGGGTGAATATTGGGCATGCATTCACCATCGCATGCTCGTGCTCACCATTCACTTCGAACCTTCCTCACGCCAGTCTCTGTTTGTGCTTATGTTGCATTGCTTGCATGCATGTGACAACACGGCATGGGCATTGGCATACAATGGCATGGCATGGCGTGTGCGAGTGTGATGGTGTGCGTGTGTGCGTGCGCGCGTGCTTGGGTGTGTGTGTGTGTGAGTGCGTGCGATGGCGTGCGCGCGTGCATGCATGGGTGTGACTGAGCAGATCGAGACGGAGAAGCTGTTTGCGCATCTGGTGGAGAAGGAGATGGAGCGACGCACGGTGGGTCCTGGGTGCAGGAAGCGAGGCCGCGGGGTGAGGGCAGGGGCGGCGGCGCGGGGAGTGACTGGGGAGGTCGGGTGCGGGAAAGGGGGAGCCGGGACAAGTGAGAGCCAGAGGGGAGGGGGAAGCGAGGATGCAAGTAGGCGAGCAGTGAAGGTGTGCAAGGGAGGTGGACTCTAGTAGTCATGGGAACACATGGAAACCGAAAGCTAGGCTTGCCTCTTAAATCCACCTCTTCAGGAAACCTGTTTGGTACGCAAACCAGCCCGTACCGTCCATCCGGGTGAACTTGCAGTAACGTTTGTGCTCTTTCTCTTTGTGTGCGTGCGTGTCTCTGGGTGCATGTGTGCGTGTGTCCGTGCGTGCCCGCGCGTGTAAATTCGCTGTTGACTGCTGTATGTGTGTGTGTCTGTGCGTGTGGGCATGGGACATGGAACATGGAGCAGAAGGCGGGGGTGTACAAGGGGAAGAAGTTCAACGCCATCTCCTACTTCTTCGGCTACCAGGCTCGCGGCTCCCTGCCCTCCAACTTCGACTGCGACTACGCCAACGTGCGTGCTCCTCCCCATGCTTTTCCGTCTCTCATCCACACTCACGCGTGTGCATGTTTAGAAGCACTTGCACACACACTCCTGATGCTCCCTGCCCCCCCTTTCCTCTCATGCACACGCACTCTTGCGCGCACTCACACCACTCGCACACACATGCACCGTCTGACACGCTCCTACACACTCAATACTTTCGCCCACACACACACACACGCACACACACCCTCAACCAAGCACACACAGACCACACCAGCCAACCAGCCCGCGACTTCTTGTGCAATTTGATCCTGCACTCACACACCCCTCTGTACCGCCGTCTCCTCATGCAGGCGCTGGGGCACACGGCGGTGCATCTGGTGGCGGCGGGTGCGGGCGGGTACATGGCGACGGTGAATGGCCTCAAGCACGACGTCTCCCGCTGGACGCTCGGCGGCGTGCCCATCACGGTGCGTGCCTCTCGCTCTTCCTCTCCTGTGGAGTGCGTGCCTGTGTTGTGCAGTGTGTGCAGTGTGTGCAGTGTGTGCAATGTGTGCAGTGTGTGCAGTGTGTGCAGTGTGTGCAGTGTGTGCAGTGTGTGCAGCGTGTGCAGTGTGTGCCTCCCCGCCTGCTCTTCTGCTCGCGCCCCACTTTTTGTGTCTGTGTTGTGGAGTGCGTGCCTCCTGCATGCAGCATGGTGGGATGGAGTGTGTCATGGTGTGACTGTTGAACATGCTCGTGGGGCGACGTATGCTTGACTGCTTTACATGCTCGTGGTGTAATGTAACTAGAGCAACTCGCATGGCATCCCCTCCTGCCCATCACATCTCATGACTCCTCGCCCCTCTCCCCCGCACGCCCCCCACCCCTTGGTGCTCCTCGCCCCTGCACGTCCCTCGCCCCTCCACCAGGCGATGATGAGTTCGAAGCCCACCATGAAGGGAGGTGCCACGGAGCCTGGTGTCACGGCTTATGAGGCGCCTTCTGATTCCCCTTCTCCCTTCCTTGCTTCCCCTCCGCGTCCCTCGCCCCTCTGCCAGGCAATGATGAGCTCAAAGCCCACCATGAAGGGCGGGGCCACGGAGCCCGGTGTCAACGCCAACAAGGTCGACCTCAACAGCGCTCCTGTCCAGTACGTGCCGCCCCGCTCCGCCCCTTGTTGAGAGGAGTCTCAAAACTGAGACCAGAATAGCTGGTGTACAAACCCCTTGGAGTACGGTGTGAATGGCCCACAATGCCTGCCTCACACTCATACCCCTCGCCCCAGTCCCCCTCTCTCTTGTCACTTGCTCTACCCCAGGACGCTGTATGCCAATGCAGGCAGCTGGCTGTTGGTCACTCACGTGCATTGTCCGTCTGCCCTGCCTTCCCGCCCCCCTACTTATGTCTCCCCCTTGTCTCCCCCAGGACCCTGTACGCCAACGCGGGCAGCTGGCTGCTGGACGACCTGTACCGCAACCCTTGATGAAATTAATAACGGCTGCCTCATTCCAGGCTTACTCATGCGCACTGTCCTCCTGCCCTTGCCTCCACCCTGCCCGTTCCCTGTTTTCTCCAGGACGCTGTACGCCAATGCGGGCAGCTGGCTGCTGGACGATCTGTACCGCAACCCGGGTCCCATCCAGTTTGAGGGGCCCAGCGCTGAGGCACGCCCCATCACGCTCACCATGGAGGACCACAGCTACGTGGAGCAGATGCACACCCTGCACAAGTACCTCGACCAGGTGGGTCCAGCCGATTGCCCTCGCGCATACTGCTGCTGCTGCCGGTGGTAGTGCGCGTCCCATCATTTCTGCCATGTTTGTCACCTTTATTTTATAAAGCATTAAAGCCATCACGCTCACCATGGAGGACCACAGCTACGTGGAGCAGATGCACACCCTGCACAAGTACCTCGACCAGGTCAGTACCTCAGTGCTTCACTGCCTGGCTTGTTCTAGCAGTTGCTTTGATGGTACTGTTAGTAGTACCTGCACAAGGTGATATTTGAAATTTCTCAAAAATCACTCGCAAGTACCTGCACAAGGTCAGTCCACCATGGAGGACCACAGCTACGTGGTGCAGATGCACACCCTGCACAAGTACCTCGACCAGGTGGGTTCAGCTGATTGCACTTTGCACATACTGCGACCAACATGCAAGACTCGCTTCATCAAATGCATGCTTTCACCATCCATGGCTCCTCCTTTGCTGCCCCCGACCCCCTCCCCGCCCTTGCCCACTCACCCTCTCCTCCCACTCCCCATATGTGCTGGCAGGTGAGGGAGCTGGTAAAGCCTGGGTGTGCCCCCGAGGCGCTCAACACGGCGCTGTCCTCCCTGGCCTCGCTCACCCACGTGCTCACCATCCTCACCGGGCCCGGCTCCTCCTTTGCTGCCCCCGACCCCCTCCCCTCGCCGCGCGTCTCCTATGTGGCCGGCATGTGGAAGTAGGGGGTGGAAAGTAGATGTTCTAGTGGAGGGAAATGGTTTTGGGAAGTGGATGGGAGAGTAGTGGGCTGACCTGAAAGGATTTATTGGTATATGATGAAATTATATGCTGGGTTCTGTGTGTTAGAAGTTTCAGGGATTCCTTCGTTTGTGGTTTCTCATCGTTGGCTAGTTGAAGGAGGATTCGTGAGAATCTGTTTGCATGGCAGGGTAACTTGGATCAAAGATGAAGCACTCAATAGATACTAGAAGAATTTCTATGGATGAAGTCTCATGGGCTTGTACCTTTAGAGCGCGCTTCTTAGCGGAGCAATTAGACCTTGCACTTCCAGTAGGCAAGTGGTTTGCACTTCAATGCAGGCAAGAATTCGCGTGCTCCGCTCCTTTCGTCACTCTCCATGAATGCGTGGTGGGACCACAATCCATTCGTGGCGCCTCAACGCGACAAGCCTAGAGTGTACCCATTGCCCACTGATTACCCCGTGCCGTGTCAACCCTCGCAGAGCGTACTTAGACATGCCGTGGCAGCAGAAGCACAGCGCACCACGTGTCGAGAGATTGATGGCGTTTCAGCGCCCCTTGTGCGGAGACGCATGCAAGCGAGGTCACGCAATGGGGCGCCTCGACTGCGAGCGCCGTTCCAGTGGATTGGCGTGTCGTTTTGTGCGAATTCGAGAAGAACGCACAGAACAGCACAGCACCGCACAGCACTGCGCAGCACTGGACAGCACTGCGCAGCGCACACGCCACATGTCATGGCCCACAGCACACGGCAGCAGCTCCAGTCGAAACGCGATCTGATGGGTCGCATTCGGTCCCCCGTGGACCACTGCCAGCTGTGCGAAGCTCGATTGGATCCACTGGAGGATTTTGACGGCTGACGGCGGCGATTTGGTTTGGAGAATCGTGACCGTTGAACTTTACTTGACAGGTCGTTGCTTCAGCGAGGCGCTCCGCTGCAGTTTGCGATCGGCGTGAGTGGGCGCATGCCGTTTCGTAAGGCGCGAAAGAGGCTTCTAAGAGGCATAATACTTGGGTGCTCGCTCGCGAACCAGACAGGATTGGCAAGATTCGGGGCAGTGACGCTCACGATATCGCAGTATACTTGTGTCCGTCGCCTGTGTTTGCTTGCTCCTCGGTGCCAGAGTGCCGCTTGTTCCTCCAAGTGGGTGGGCAGAGATCGGCATCGCGTGCAGTTTGAAGTCGTACGCTTTCCGTCCAGAGCCGGTGGATGGCTCACGAAACTCGCGAAACCAACGAGACTCGCGAGGCAAAGATTCTCCGTCCGGAACCGGGCGCTTTTCGTCACGAGACTCGCGAGACGAACGAGGCCAGCGAGACTCCCAAGACGCACAAGAGTCACGAGGTTTTCTGGGCGAGTCGGCAGGCGCGTTGGCAGGTGGCAGAAGCGGCGGATATGGGGCGACACGGGAGGGAGGGAGGTGAATCAGGGGAAGGAGGAGAGAGGGATGATGGCTTCGGCGGAGAGAGGGGGGAACGTCTGGAGCAGATCGGCCGAGGGATACCGGGAGGAAGCTTCGTTGTGGGTTCGCCTCCCAAGCGGTTACGGAACAGCGGGTTGGGAGGGGAGAGGGTTGAGGAGTGGGCAGGAAGGAGCACGCAAGATCGTGAGTACCAGCTCCGTAATTCAGGTCTGAACGAGGGCTTTAACGTGCGGGGTGGGTTCGGGAAGGAGCACGGAGACTTGCCAGACGTTGTGGCTAAACAGGAGGTTGAGAGCGGGAGGGGGAAGGTGGGAGAGGGAGAAAGCGATGGGGGATGGGAGGCGTTAGAGTGTGAGGTGAGGCAGACACATGAGGAACCTTTTGAAACGCGTCAGAAGTCGGATAGCAGGAGCGGGAATGGGACGGGGAGAGAGGGGGACAGCGGTAAAGGGAAGGAGGAGGCGATAGAGTGCGAGGTGAGGCAGATTTATGAGGGCCTATGCTTGGATCTCGCTGCTACTGCTGACGAGGAGGCCTGCAGCGCTGACAGGAGCGCTGACGTGGCAGGCCGGCGTGGAGGACGTGCTGACGTGGCAAGGCATGGTCTAGCTGGCAACGATGAGGCACTTTGCATAGGAGACGTTGCTGATCTGGACTTCAACAGGGGGGAAGGGGCCAAGGTGAGTGAGGGGCATAGCGAGGTTCAGGGCGGTATGAGTGCGGTGGAGCTGGATTCAGTGCGGTTGCTGGCCTCCCTCCCGTCTCTGAACTCTAGCGACCTCGCTGCTGCACTGCCTGCCCTCGGCCATGTCAACCCTCTGCTCAACACAGAGGGTGTTGTTGAGTCGACTCGTAAGCCACCTCTTCCGGCCCATGTCAACCCACTGCGGGACACAGAGGGTGTTGTTGCGTCAACTCAGGAGCCACCTGCTCCAGCCTATGTTGGTCCACCGCATGGCACACAAGGCCTTGCAGAAGCCGCCTCTAAGCTGCCGGCTCACACATGGGGTTGCTTTTCCATGGGGTTACTTCATCAGCAGCAGATGCAGTGCCAGCCATCTGACCCAGCTGTAGCGGCATCTGATTCGCCAGCAGAAGCACCTGATCCGGCTGTAGCAGCTTTTGATGCAGCTGTAGCAGCTTCTGATCCGGCTGTAGCAGCTTCTGATCCGGCTGTAGCAGCTTCTGATCCGGATGTAGCAGCAACACAGGCAACTGAAGAGGTTGCAACCGTTGCAACCGAACCGGCTGTAGCAGCACTCGACCTCAATTTACCACCTCTGGATCCGGCTGTAGCAGCACCCGAGCACAATACAGCACCTTTGGATCCGGCTGTAGCGGCACCAGAACCCGACACAGCACCTTTGGATCCGGCTGTAGCACCACCCGAGCCCGATACAGCATCCCCGGACCCAGCTGTAGCAGCACCAGAGCCCGATGCAGCACCTCTGGATCCGGCTGTAGCGGCGCTTTCAGACATCCAGCTGCCGCCCGGGTTCACAGAGGGCGACGCAGCAACGGAACACTTCCCACCATCCTGTGACCCTCCTGTCGATACCCGAAACCCCCTCTTGGAAACCCAGAACCCCTTCGCTGTGTCTTCTGAATTGGCTCAAAAGCCGCCGCTGTCTGACCCACCGGTTGACACGCGAGATCCCTTTGTAGAAACCCAGAACCCTTTTGCTGGTACCCTGAGCCCTCTTGTTGATGCTGTTGAAAACGTGCTGGGCGGCCACAGAGGGGAGGTTGCAGTGCAGGTTGGAGGAGAAGGGAGGGGTGGAGGAGGTGGGGGAGGAGGAGGAGGAGGCGGAGGAGCAAGGGGAGGAGAACACGGAGAAGGTGAGGAGGGAGTCGGAGAAGGGGGGGATAGAGGAGGGGGCGGGACTGATGCTGCTACTGGTGCTAGTGCTGGTGCTAGTGCTGGTGGTGATGATTGTGAAGAGCAAGACCCTGCAGCAGGTGACACAGACACAGGAGGAGGAGGTCCACTGAGCGATACTAGCAAAGGAGAGAAGCCTGACCAATCGGAGGCAGGGGACGATCTGTCGCACGGGTCTCAGCCCGGGGTGAAGCATGGGTTGAGTGCGGTGGCAGGGGGTGCAGGGGCGCATGCCATGCTGCCGCCTGCAGGCATGCTGGCGCCGCCCTACAAGCACATGCGCCAGCCTGGCATGGCTGTGACTCTAGCGGATGTGCTTGATGCGAGGGAGCCGTCAGAGCAGGCGGGTGTGACTGTAGACGAGCAGGGACTGGGGTCTTTGGGATTCGCCACTTCGCCTCTCGAGGGGCTGGGCCGAGGCGAGAGGCTGGGCTTTCAGCAGCAGCTGGGCTTTGAACAGGAGCTGGGCTTTAAGGAGGAGGTGGTGGCCTTTAAGCAGCAGCTGGGCCTTGGGCAGGGACTGGGCTGTAAGCAGGGGCAAGCTAGCATGCATGGGGAAGCAGCAGGGAGAGCAGCAGGAGGACGGGATGACACGTCAGCAGGTGTACAGGCTGCCAGCTCAGCAGGTGTGCCTCATGCCAGGTCAGCGAATCTACCGCATGTGAGTACACTGACAGGAGTGCAGCATGCCTTGTCTGTGGCGCCAGAGCTGCACCAAGCAGTCTCCCACTTGCCTCCACAATCCTCCAAACTCCTCTCCCAAATTCCTCACCCCTCTTCCCAAATTCCTCACCCCCACTCCCTTCCTCCCACACTACCTCCCAGCCCTCTTCTACTCACTCCGCTCCTCTCCTCCCTCCGTGCCAGTTCCATCTCTCCCCCAGCAGCAGCAGCAGCCACCCAGGCCACTGCACCTGCCCAAGCCCCCGCCTCTCACACCCACTCACTCACATTTTCCACACCTGCCCAGGTGACACCTGCACTAGTCAATGCCCCCCCTTGGTCCACCCTTACAGTCACACCTTCTGCTAGTGCCCCCTCGACTGCTGAAGGGCATGTTGAGCTGCGCACAGGGCCTGCAGGGTGTGATAATAACGAGATGCTGCTCAAGGCTGGAGGGGAGGGGACCAAGGAGGTGGTTGTAAGGCACGGCGGTGGTCACTCAAACGAGGGATTCTCAGTGGAAGTGAGTGCAGGGAAAGTCAAAGTGGGGATCAAGAGTGGAGAGGATGTGACTAGTGTGGTGGGGAAGGGAGTGGGGGAAGCCACAACTGCAAGGGTGGAAAAGGGTGGATAGATAGCTACGGTAGTTGGTGAAAAAAAAATTGGTTGGTACTACTACCATAGATGGTAGATTTTCTTTTTGCGAAAACTCTCCTATAATGGCTGTGGCGTATTCACTGCAAATTTCACCATTCCAACCTGATTCTTGTGGAACTACCAAGAAGAAGCTTGTAAGAATGAGAAACTCAATTATAACAGAATGATAATGGCACAGCTACAACAAAAGAATAGGCCCGTATTGAGGGCAGTATACAATACAGAGGCACGCTTAGCGCGTGCACAAATCGGCCCACCAGAAAATCAATCCCACCAAATCACCCTCACATGCTCGCATTCCGCGAGCGCAGCACACGCGCCACCCTGTTTAGTGAAGCGGCTCCCGGGGGAACTCCTCGACGGGGCTGAGCTGCTTGGCGCGGCGGTACTCGGTGTGCGCGCAGTCCACGGAGAGCACCGAGCTCGACTCGTACGACCGCGGCGTGCCGTCCAGGAACCCCACGCCCTCCGCGCTGTCCGACGAGATCGGACGGTGCAGATTCGCGATCAGGCGCTGGAAGTCCGCCGCGCGCGCGGCGTGGTCGGGGCGGTACGTCTGGCCGAGCACGCCGTGCACGTCGTCGGTGTGCTCCAGCTCGACAATCCCCACGTTGATGTGCGCCTCGGCGTCGTTGGGGGTTTGCAGTTTAGGGTTCGCGACGCGCAGGCGCAGGTCGAGCGAAACGAGCCCGTCGATCGCGAGCGTGTAGTAGTCCACGTCATACGGCCCCTCCTTCTCCAGCGCCGCGAATCGCAGCGTCAAGCCGCCCTCCGTCTTCACCTCGTCGCCGACGGCCATCCTCGGGATCTCCTCGCCGTCGATCTCGATCGTCTTCATGAACCCCTCGCCGCGCTCCTGCTGCTTCCCCGCGCGCGCCGCGAGGCGCAGCTTGTGGTCCGCGCCGGCCGCGAACCACACGAGCCCGAGCTCCTTGATCCACGTGTGCACGGCCTTGCCGTCCACGACGAGCGCCGCGTTCTCCGTGTCGTCCGAGTAGTACCCGCGCAGCAGCATGTTCACGTGCAGGTCGCGGTCCGTCAGCAGGCAGAACGCCTTGTCGGGGCGCCCGTTGAAGTCGAAGTGCGTCCCGAACGCGCCCACCAGATGCGGGTCGTTGACGACGTTCGCCGCGGGGTTGCACTCGCCGCCCGTGCGCACCTGCAGCGCGATGGGCTTCGAGTCCGTCGCGTACTGCGCGGTGAGCTCGCCGCACGTGTAGTCGATGTCGTCGTGCACGAGGTAGCACGCGCCGTCCGTCTTCTTGCCGTCGATGGTTATATCGGGGATGTACTGCCAGTACGTGCAGCTCTTGAACGACGCGCACGTGTTGCAGCACGTCTGCGGGGACGCCTTCTTGAGCGTGAGTGGATTTCCCTTCACGTACACCTCCACGCCCAGCTTGTTCTTGAGCAGGTTCGACGTCTTCCATTTCGCCGGGATGCCGCCCTTGCTGCAGTTGGCGGGCGTGCACGCGCCGTCCCCGGGTTTGCCCAGGTCCTTGTGGCACTTCATTTTGTTCCATCCGGCCGCTTTCACGTCCACCATCAGCATGCTGTCCGTGCTCGGGCTCACGATCGTCGTCCCCTCGAACTTGTTCAGATTGCCCGCCGCCGCCGCCACCTCGATGCCCTTCGGCACCTCCGTTGCTACTCCATTCTCGCCCTGCGCCGCCGCGAGGGACACTGCGGGGTTGTTGGGTCCAGTCACGACGCTTGGCGCCGCGGAGGCCACTGTCAGAAGGGCCGCGAGTGACGCTACGAGTAACAACCGCGCCATAGTTCTAAAATCTAGGTCGATGCGCTGAGGAGCTGAATCGTTTTCGAGGAATGTCAAAATCGCTGAGATAGAGAGAAGAAAACGCTAGCAGGAAATTCGTAGGAGTGAAACCTCACCTAAATGTAACACTCGAATAATTGTGTTGTGTCTGGTCTGTCGATGGACTACTTTCTTGTATACGGTAGTGTGTGTCTGGTTGGCTTGAATTGCCTACAGGTTTTGGAAGGGAGTTCGCGAATCGCGATATTGGAGCAAGCGAAGGAACCGAACCGCGCTATATCAATTGACTGTAGATGTTGGCGAGCGGGTGGGATTGTGCACTTTACTGGCGCAGGTTGGCTTCTCGCGGCTGGTTGTTACCGAAACAGTTCCGGTCAGGTCACAACTCAGGTTACGGGATCTCGAAGCGCAGGGATTTCATATCCTGGTTAGCATGAGTGGACTCCTGGCCTGGGTCGCGAAATGTTAGTTGGAATTTCTCCTCACCACCCTGTAGCGATATAGCGCAGCTCGACTCTTCCAAGGTGGAATGGTAAATTCGGGGGTTGCAAAGGCTCTAGAACACATAATTGAAAATTATGAAATGTATTACAATACTCAAAACTCGCCCAAATTTAGGGCCAGAAACCCAGCCAACAGCCTGCCATTGGTGGATCTGAGCTCGTTAATCAGACGGCTCCAATTCGACCCTAACGACCCAATAAAGTGATCGCACTGAGAAGCAATCAGCAAGCTAGCAAAGCTGACAGCCACTGATTGCTCACTATCATACGCCCGCAGGGCCTCTTCCCCTTGCTGGTCTTGCTGTGGTGCTGAGACGTCGCTTTGACGGGTATTGGTGGAGTAGAAGAAGGTCCAATCGGGATAGAGAGACGCGACATCAATTACTGACTGCACAACCAGCACAGGGAGACGGTGGGTGGTGCGTTGAAGGTGGGAGAAGGAGGGAGGGGGAAAGAAGAGATTGTTGGTGGAGTAGAAGAAGGTCCAATCGGGGTAGAGAGCCGTGGCATCAACCACCGACTGCACAGCCAGAGAGGGATGGCAAGGCAGTGGAAGTGTGAGTGCGTGGGGATTGAAGGCGCGTCCATCTGCTATACTGTTTCTGGTAAATTTTACTCAGAATACCTAAGTGTTAGGGTAAATGGTCCTTGCGAACCATGGCATTTAAGTACCTGTGCTTCAGTGTTGAGCCACACATATTGAAGTTCAGGCTGGGACCGCTTGAGTCTGCATGGGAACATATGTACACGAGGGGGAGGATGACAAGGGTGTGAAGACCAAAGCTGCAGCTACGTAGAGGAGTTGGTACGAACTGAATATGATACCAAGTTTTTCAGAGCCAAACCCACCTGAGCCAAATCCCAGCTTCATCAGAACCCACCTCCACCAGAACACACCTGCACCAGAACACACCTGTGCAGGAGGAACATGTGGGAGTGGAAGGAGGAGAGTCGCATCTCCCTGCCCTTGTCTGTCTGCCGCACATGCACGCTCACCATGCCCCCTGGCCTGTGCACCTCCCCCCCCACCATCCAGTACACCTCCTCCGCCCCTACCTCCCTGCCTCCCTCTCTGCCGCCGCTGCCGCTACTGCTGGTGGTGCTGCTGCTGGTGGTTTCGCCAGTGCTGCTACAGCCAGGAGCAGGGGCACAGCTAGCAGCGGAGCAAGGAGGGGATGGGAAGCCTCGTTGGGCCCACACACAGGAGTGCAGCGTGCGCACAGGAGGGGGTGACGACTCACCCTGTGGCACCTCCGCTGCTGCTGCTGCTGGTACCTCCGGTGCTGTCCCTGGTGTGGGCAGCTGTTGTGAAGCTGGTGGGGAGGCAGTTGGTGATGGGGCTGAAGCAGAGGAAGAGGAGGAGGAAGAAGAAGGGGAGACTGAGGAGGGGATTGGGAAGGTGGGCGGACGGAGGGAGGAGGAATAGTCGTCCATGCTGGAGAGCAGAAGGTATTGACTCTCTGTGATGGCGTTGCTGGCTGAGAGGGCACGTAGGAAGGCGGACTGGGTCGGGGCATACGCTGCGAGCTGATTGGCCACGAGCATGCCGAAGGCGGCGTGGCGCTGCTGGTTGATGACGTGGCAGAGATGGGCGGAGGGCCAGCGCAGCATGAAGCGCGTGGCCTGCGCACGCCACCAGTGGGCCTGATTGGGTGAGAGGAGGAATGGGAGGTGGGGTGGGAGGCAAATGCGTGTTGTGCAATGAGTTGGCAGGAAGAAAGATGGGGAAGACACGTGAAAGGATTGGAGAGAGGCTTGGGGAGGAGGAATTGGAGGGCCTTTATTGTATCTCATAAAGAGTCATGCCATGCCATGCCATACCATGCCTCTAAGCATGCTCAAGTTCTCACCTGCACTCCACTATTGATCCTTGCCTTTTGCCTTTTGCCTCATGCCTACTGCGACCATCCATCATGCTACTGCCTCACATCACACATTCCTCACCATGCCTCGCACCATGCCTCGCACCATGCCTCTCACCATGCCTCTCACCATGCCTCGCACCATGCCTCGCACCATGCCTCGCACCATGCCTCGCACCATGCCTCTCACCATGCCTCTCACCATGCCTCTCACCATGCTCTCATTAGTCGACATGCCTTGAATCTGCCCCCAATGCTCCACAGTGGAAGGTGTGTCCAGATAAGCAGAACCCCAGAGCCTGCAGGGGAAAGGGGAGAAAGGGAGGGGGAGAAAGGGAGGGCGAATGAAGCATGCATCTCTGTCTGTCGTGCTGGGTGATGGGTGAAAAAACCTACACTCCCATTCACCCTCAATACTCACACTCACCTGCACTCTCCCTCACACCCACTCATGCGCATACCTGGCGGCATCACTACCCTGTTCCATATAGAGCTCTCCCAGCTGTTCCAGCTCCACACACACGATAGGGGCATCTGACTCCGCTGCTGCATTGAAGCCCCTAGCGGCGCATGGAGGCACGGCACCCGCCGCCAGGGCCTGCTGTGCTCGCTGCGTGCAGTCTGACGAGACAATTGGGAAGAAGAAACACTCCCATGACCCCTGCTGGCCTTGGTCTGCATTGGGGAAGGGGTAGGGAGGAAAGTCTGCATTGGTGCCTTGAAACCCCGAGCGGCACATGGAGGCACGGCACCCGCAGCCAAGGCCTGCTGTGCTCGCTGCGTGCATTCTGAGGATACGATGGGGAAGAAGAAACACTCCCATGACCCCTGCTGGCCTACCACTGGACAGGGGAGCAAGGGGAATGGAGGGGGGAAAGGGGGGTTGTTGCACAAGCGGGAACAGTGCGGGCGGCCAGGGCTTGCTGTGCACCCTGCGTGCCGTGCAGTCAGAAGAGACGACAGGGAAGAAAAAACACTCCTCCCCCACCGCGTCTTTCAGCCCAGGGCACGCACCTTGGCAGGCGGGGAGGAGGGCGCGGTCGAACTGCCCAGGCCACGGCACCAAGGTGCGATTGTGGGCCATGGCTATGCTCAGATACGCCCCCGCCAGATGCACCTGCACCAGTACAGGACAAAAAGGGCAACTTGCATGATTGCATACCTGATTTTCTGCCTGGGAATACCGCCAAACGTAATCTGGAAAATCACCTCTGCCCGGCTATCCACAACCTGGCCAGGCACATGAGACTCCACCTGACCACTTGAATTACCTGATAAGGCACCTGACCTGACAACTCACCTGACAATTCACCTGGACCACCAGAAGAAGACCCACCTGACCATTCACCTACGAATCCATGGATGATCAGCGACTCCACGAAAGAATTTACCTGATTGTTTACCTGAGATTGCACCTGATTACTCACCTGACAATTCACCTGACTGCCCACCTGAGACCCCAAGCCATGGTGTTCAGCCGGCCACCAGCGGGCCAGCAGCAGGCGCCGCCCCTCACACGGCGCTCCTATTCGCTGGCTCTCCCAGATGTCTCTCTGCGCGACACGTGTCAGCGGCAGGTTGTCCACGTCAGCACCCCTCACCCATGGCGGGAGCGGCCCCTCCGCACACCCCTCCCCTCCCCCTTCCGCTCCCCCCTCCGCACCCGCATGCGCAGGTTCCGCGCTTTCCCCCCCTCTCCCCCGTCCCCGCGCCCATAGGGGAGGCTCCCCCCCTGGTCCGCGCGCCTCTGAGGCGCGGCGCCAGGCAGTGCGCGCGGAGCAGTCCTCCAGGTGGGGCGCGGGGGGAACGGCGGGCGGAAAGGGGAGCGGGGAGGGCGGGGGAAGCAGCGACGAGGCGTTGTCCAGCCCGTAGATCTGCGCCCATGCCTGGGGGACGGGGAATAGTGCGCAAAAGGTAGGCGGAAGGCGGGGGGTGAGGGAGGGGACGGGGAAGGGATGTGGGAATGGATTGGTTGGAGGGGTTGTTGGGGGGTGGAGAGAGAGGGGGAGAGTGTGGGGGAAGGAGGGGGGCTGTTTGAGAGCATGGGAGAGTGGATAAAATTATTCAAGGGTTGCAAAGTGACGCCACAAACCGTGGCGGTAGCTTATACCGCGTACAGCTCTTTAGCACGCTCTTTAATCTCCTCCCCGTTGACTGCTGATAACCGTCGCCCGCCTTCCGCCCTTCCGCCCCCTTCCGCCATTCCGCCGCCATAACCCCCCCCGCCTAGGGAGTCTCCCCCGTCAATTCCCCTTGAGACGGCTGTAGCCGCCACTACAACCCACGCCACGACCAGCACCAGCGCTGATCGCGACGTACGCGTTATAGTATTTCCGAGTAGGGCCATTCGTAAAAGCCGCCTCGCATAGTCTACTCGTCGCGCACCGCCTTCTCAGCAAGAGCAATTTTCGGCGGATCAAAACGTACGGAGTACTAGGCGCGTTGCGAGTCCGTATCTCGCCGTGCTAGGTGCTACACGGTCGATTGACACCTTCCGGCTCGACTCAGCGCTCGTCTGAGTGCGCGGGCTGCCTTGCCTGCTCCGAAATGGAGTGGATTGGAAATTGACTCAATAGCGGAGCATTTAGGCGAACATTTAGCTGCAGTAAGAAGACAATATACACCATTTTTACTAAGGGTCAACTGAACAAATGCCAATATTATTGAAAGGACTGGTTGCTTGCAGCCCAACCAGCTGCAACCAGGGCCAACACCACAAGCGCAATTTTCTTCCGATTATCTTTCAAACGATCCACCAATGATTTTGCAAGAGGAGCCTCATTGGTGCTCGGCGGTGTGCCATTTGTGTCAGCTCCATTTGATGTACCTACAAGGACACACCAATCAACATAAAGAGCAATTTATTGAAATTTCATATTCCAATCTTCCTTGGCATGAATGGCGAATGCAAAGGGTGTCATGAAAAAAAGCACAGGAGAGAGCAAGCGATGCCTTACAGGGCAACTCACCAGCAGCAGAGGGGCGATAGCGCAGCGTATTGAATAGCGAACCAAGCACAATGGCGAGCAGAGTGCAGGTGAGCGTGATGACATTGTAGGGCATGCTCAGGTCCGGCAGCGGTACCGGCACCACCACCGGTGGCGCATACATGTGGCTCTGACCCTGTGGGTCCTGTGGTGAGTGGGGAAGTCATAAGGGCAAGGCAGAATGCAGGTGGGTGTGATGACATTGCAAGGCATGCTCAGATCCTTCAGCGGTACCGGCACCACCACTGGTGGCGCGTAAGTGGGGGAGGAAAAGGGGGGAGCAGCGTGCAAGTGAGTGAGCGTGATGACGTTGTGGGGTATGCTCAGATCTGGCAGCAGTGCAGGCACCACCACCGGTTGCGCATACATTTGGCTTGGACCCTGTGGGTCCTGTTGTGGGAGATGAGTGGTAAGGAAAGTGAATGAGCGGAGGGGAAGTGAGAAAATAGCGTAAGCACAAGAATGACTTTCGAGATTCCTCTAAGGTATGTACGCATTTCGAGGTTACTTCAACCTTTTGCTTTGAAATGCATGCACTGGTATGTATGCGTGTGGCATCACAGTTGGTATGACATAACACAAAGAGTGTCTTTACCGAGGGCACAGTAAGAAGGGCAGCGGGAAGGTCGACTCCCCTACTGGCATCAGGCGGTGTTTCAAAGACAGTCAGAAAGGCCTGCAAGGCGGTGCGAGGTGGATAGAGGCAGAGGGGAAACATGGTGGGACGAGGGAAGAGGCGAGGGGAAGGTGGGTGGGACAAAGCTGGGGGCCGAGCAGGGAAGAGAAGGTGGCGGACCGAGAGTGCGCGAGGAGCAAAGGTTGGGTGCACAACGCAACGTGTATGAAGATCATTTTTGAGACGTCTCAAAAATAACCTTCATACACGTTGCGAGGGGAAGGTGGGTGGGACAAAGCTGGGAGCCGAGGAGGGAAGAGAAGGTGGCGGCATGAGCCAGAGAGTGCGTGATGAGCAGAGGTCAGGTGCACAACGCTACACTGTGATTGTATCGGTGAGTGTGACAATACCGAATGCACAGGGTGTGCTCACACCTTCTCGTACTGCACTGTGATTGTGATGTGAGAGACTCCTCTGGGAACGCGCAGCAGCAGCTCCAGCATAGCAGATGGGCCTCTCCCCCTTGGTCTGTGTGATTACAACACATGAGACACATACCTTCCTGTACTGCACTGTGATTGTAACGCGGGAGACTCCCCTGGGCACGCGCAGCAGCAGCTCCAGCACAGCAGGCGGGCCTCTCTCCCTCGTTGGCTGCAGCCGCGCCGCTACAACGGCGCTGCTGTCCCTCAGGCTGACAGGCTGGTGGTCGAAGGAGAGAGAGAGTGTGTGCAGGTACAGCTTCAGCCACCACGGCACCGCCTGGAACACACTCACTGTGTCACTCACTGTGTCGCCCCCTGTGTCGCTTCCACACTCCCTGTTCTGGCTCTCTGCGTTGGAAGAATCATTTTCTTCTCTTGCACATCTCCTCTTGACATTTCCCCCTTTAGTATCACATTCTCGTGCATCAAACCCTGCTCCTCCGGCTCTCTGTATGAGGAAGGTCAGCCCGCCCAGGGCGTCTCCTGTGCCTGTGGTGAACCGAGAAAGGACAAACAACGCCGGCCGCCGCTGCCATGACACCCGCCGCTTCCAGTGAATGCCTGCCGAGCTGACCGCTGCCACGTCACCTACATGCAACGCTGAGTCAGCAACATTGCCAGCAGCAGCAGCAGCAGCAGCAGCAGCGGCGGCGCTAGAGGCAGAGGTAGAACCATGCACTTGATGTCGGCGCATGTCACGATGCAGCAGCACCGCTTCCACTTGCTGCACAGCCCCCGTTCTCCCCGTGTCTTCTGCACTCGAACCCCTTGACAACACAGCCCCACCTCTCTCCTGCACTCTCACCCTCCACTTCCCCTCTAGGCCAAACACTGCATTGCTCTTGAGGAAAGTCGCCCACCCCACTATAGAGTCCCTCCCAATACTGTCACCCCCACCACTACAGGCAGCAGCAGAGGCCGCGGCAGCAGCAGTACCAGTAGCAGCAGAGGTGGCGGCTGCACCTCCTGCTGAAGCAGCAGTGAGTTGGGCGGCGGGGCAGAGGAGACCAGACGGCACTCTGATTGCCACGTCAGTTGACGTGGCAAGGGGACACACTGACGTCAGCTGCCGCCCAAACAGCGCACCCACGCTCCAATCGGGCGGCAGCGGAATCACATCGCTCAGATCAAGCCCCTCCTGTGCTGCTTCATTCACTTGTGCTGCTGCACCTGCTGGGTTTGAAGGAGCGGAAGGGACGGGTTTGGTGGCAGCGGCGGCGGCAGCGGCAGCAAGGGCGTTCTCAGTGGACGCATCGAGCACGACTGTGAGTGACTGGTGCAGCACCACTGCCCACCACGTGCCGGCACAGACAGCCGTGGCAGGGGGAACGCAGAGGGGAGTCGCGGAGGAGGATGAAGAGGAAGAGGAAGAGGATTTGCCAGCAACACCACACACACTCCCTCCCTCTCCCACACTCCCCTCGTTACCCACACTCCCCTCCTCGCCCCCACTCCCCTCCACGTCCACGCTGCCCTCATCGCACACGTCGGTCCACACAGCAGTGTGCAGGGAATGGTAGCGCCCGCCAAACACAGCCCCGCGGTCCATGAGGGAGGAGAGGCCTGCTGCGTCGCGGCACGGCAGCAGCTTCAGCCACGGCGTCAGGTTCTCCGTGCACACCGGCTCCCGAGCCATGCTGCCGTACCTCACGTGCAGGCTCGGCGGCTGGTTCGGCGGTGGCGAGGAGGAGCAGGAGGAGGAGGAGGAAGCGGAAGAGGAGGGGGAGAGGGGAGGGGTTGGCTGGTGCGAGTGGTTTGCGGAGGGAGGGAAGGGGGTGTAAAAGTGAAGAGCGGGGGAGACGACGGAGGAGGGGGATTGCAGGAAGTTGAGCGAGGCGCAGAAGAGGCCTGCCAGCTTGTCAGTGAGGTTGTGCCACGTGGCGTCCAGCTGGCATGGGGGGAGAGGTGGGAAGGGGCGGAAAGGGGAGACGAGAATGAGGGGAGAAAAGGACGAGGGCGGATGGGAATGAGAGGGAGAGTGTTGACAGAAAGTATCAAGGTGCAATGGAGTGACAGCAGTTTGGAATCTCACGAACCACTTCACAATAGTTCCCCTTTCGCCTTTCCCTTTTCCTCTCACCTCTTTCCCGCCTTCTCCGCCCATCCACGCGACCAGCTGTGCCCCTGGCGGCCTCACGTCATACTCTTGGTGTGAGAGAGGCGGGGCAGGGGGGAGAGGGGAGAAGGGCCCCCCTGTCTCCCCTATATCTAAGACCCCTCAATACTTCTTTCCATCGTTTCCCCTTTCCTCTTCCCTCTCACCTCTCTCCCGCCTTCTCCGCCCATCCACGCGACCAGCTGTGCCCCTGGCGGCCTCACGTCGTACTCTTGGTGTGAGAGAGGGAGAGCCGTGGGGGGAGGGGGCCCGTCTCCCCTATATTTGAAACCCTGCAAAACTAAGTCCCTTTGCCTCCTATCCGCTTACCTCTCTCCCGCCTTGACCGCCCATCCACGCGACCAGCTGTGCCCCTGGCGGCCTCACGTCGTACTCTTGGTGTGAGAGAGGCGGGGGAGGGGGGAGAGAGGAGGAGGAGGAGGAGGAGGAGGAGGAGGAGGAGGAGGAGGAGGAGGAGGAGGAGGAGGAGGAGGAGGAGGAGGAGGAGGGGGTACCCCACTGCTGCACGTCCCAATTGCCGTGTGTGAGAGAGAGTGAGAAATGGTGCACGTTCAGCGATTGCACCTGGTGTGGGATGGGGGGGAGGAGGGAGTGAGGGGAGGGAACGGAGGAGGGTAGGAGGGATTAAAGGGGGTGAGGAAGGATGAGAGGAGGGGAGGGAGGAGGAGGGAAGGGGGGAGGACGGGAGGAGGTGAATTCAGAACTGTGCGTGGGGAGCAATGTGCGTGGGGAGCAATGTGACACAAGGGACGAGGAGATGGACAGGGAGGGCGAGGAGCAGAAACGAGAAGGGGGGGAGGCAATGGGGATTAACGAGTCGTTGACGGGTTGGGATTCATCCACAGAGCAGCCGGAATCCACGCGGGGTTGGGATTCATCCCTCCAATCGTTTTCGAGAAGTCTCAAAAGCGAATTTGAGACATAATTCACGCGCAGATCCCTTCACCCGCGCGGCTTACGAGGTGCAAAATTGCCGAGGGGAACAGAACCGTGTCCGCGAAGCCTCCCCCTTCTCTCGCTCCTCGCGTTCCTTCCGTTCCTCCCGTTCCTCGCATTGCCCGCAGCCGGCTTTCGAACGCGAAGTGCGCCAACACGCGGCCATCTGGCAGCGGCTCGAGCACCAGCCGCTCGTGAAACTCCTCGCGATTCGACACTCTAACGCGTTCCGACACCGTTGCTTTCGACACTCTATCTGCGGCCGTTAGAGCCGGCCCGGATCCTCCGCCGCATAAGGAGGAGAGGGCGAGAATCGCCGTCAGTGGCACCAGCCACATGGCTCGAGGAGTAAGTCTAGGATACTCGTCGGATCGGCGCGCGTTCGGCGGCGCTATGCTTTTGAGGACTCTCAAACTCTATTAGAGACTGCGCACTAACGGTGGAATTGAGGAAGGGACAGCAATGGTACGAGGACGTTCATGTGAAAAGCGACGCATTCCTAACCTCCTAACCAGCTCTCTAGATGCCGGTTTCCGCAAGAGCTTCCTGGTTCGTGTGCTTCGACCCTACGCGTCGCATTACTCGGGAACAAGGCACCAAATTCCTAAGTCAGCAGCGGCTTGTAGTAATTCGAGTGGATAACGTGGTGGTCGCTGACGGGTGTCCCTGATTGTGGAGGAAATGTAGGGAGGAGCAATCCCAAGGGCGATCGAAGTGGGCGCGGGGCAGGTGCCTGATCAATGCAAGAAGAAACCTGGCGGAATTCAACCAATACGCGATAAAAGAGCGTGCTGAACATGTTGCAACACTTTGAGATCCCAGCTAATAGTAAAACGCAATAATGCCTGTAGAAATAGAGCCCTCAGCTCCACCGTTTTCGGAATACATACTCGGAAAACAACGAATCTGATCCCGTTTGGTCATCAATCTCAATTGTCGCACCATTCACTGCAACTCCATTGCCAACAATACCCTTGGCCCTCCCTTCTCCATCCCCAAACACCTCTCGTCCACTTCGCCATTCCTCCCCAGCCCCTGCAACATCCTCAACATGAACCACCTCGATACAATCCCCTCCGGTTTCATCACTCGCTCGAGCTCTCTTGGCGCTTCGCCCCAGCGAACCAACTTTAACATGCCCTCCTGCGTACCCCCCGTCAGCAGCACCAACGCCAGCAGCACCAATGCCAGCAGCCATTTTCCCCTCACCATCGGCACCAGGAAGCACCGGATTGCCAGAAGCTTCACTCCAGAGGCTCCTTTTCAGTGTAGCTGAGTCGGAGGAGAGAAACTGTGGGTTTCCCGACGCCTTTGGTGCAGAATGCACATTAGTAGAGGGTGGAAAGGCCGCGGAGGAGTTGACAGGTGCATTCTGCGTATCAACAGGTTGGTCAGCAGATAATGCAGGAGGCTTGCTAATACGGCCGTTGCTGGCTTCTCCGGTATCCCCTTTATTGTGTTCCTCAATAAGCCTCTCAATAGTCCCCAGCACACGGGCACCATACTTGTTGACCTTCACTCTGTGAGGGTGAATGGGGAAGGGGCCAGAAAAGAACAAATGGTAGGTAAATGGAAGAGGGAAAGAAGATGGTGGGAAGAGTGAAGCTTTACCATGGGAAAAAAGGAGTGTTTTGAGACGTCTCAAAACACTCCTTTTTTCACGTAGCTTTACCACGGCTGGGGTAGAAAAACAAGGCCACAACTGATGGACCCATAGCGACAGCACACTCAAGTCCTTCCTTTTCACATGCCTCTAGCACCAAGGTCTGGCTTGGCTATATCAAGCCTCCAGGCTTCAATCCTGCTTTCTTGACAACCTCCACCACTTCAGACGCCATCCCCATTACCTCTTCTAAATGCCTGAGAAAAATCTAAGCCCACATGCCACTGCCAGCAATAGTGTCACTATTTGCAGCCCACCCAGCTCCCAGGCACCCACCTGCCAATGCCGGGAATCTCCTGCAGCGCGTCGAGAGTGCGGGGCAGCCGCTGACTGATGAGCACCAGCTGTGCGTTGCTGTGATGGGGGGGGGCGAGAAAAGCGGGTTCAAGGTAGGGCGGGCACATGAGGGAAGGGAGTGAGGGAAGAGTGGAGGGGAAGGGCAGGTGAGAGTGCGGGGCAGGTGCTGACTGATGAGCAGCAGCTGCGCGTTGCTGTGATGTGGGGGAAAAGGGAGGAGGAAAGGGAGGGAAGAGAGCGGAGTGAAGGGGAGTGGGGAGGAGAAGGGCAGTGAAATGTGTGTGACGATGATACAGTGCCCCTGAGTGCGCAGGTGAGAAGCAAGACAGCTACAACGAGCACATCTGTGTGAGCGTGTCAGAAGCACACAGGCAAGCAAGCAGACCCACTCACCCGAAGATGTGGTAGGGCGCGAGGTTCTCGCCCGACTCCTGCACCAGCGTCTGCCTCAACGCGTGACTTTTGAGTCGACCCAAAAGTGATCTAGCAGGCAAGCAAGCAGACCCACTCACCCGAATATGTGGTACGGAGCAAGGTTCTTGCCCGACTCCTGCACCATTGGGAATTAATAAAAGCGACTTCTGAGATTTCTCAAACGTGCTCACCCACCCGAAGATGTGGTAGGGAGCAAGGTTCTTGCCTGACGCCTGCACCAGCGTCTGCCTTAACGTGTTTTTCTAGAATACCTCAATAAACGCATTCAGCAGGCAAGCAAGCAGACCCACTCACCCGAAGATGTGGTAGGGAGCAAGGTTCTTTCCCGACTCCTGCACCAGCGTCTGCCTCAACGCATGCAGTGCCTTGTATATGGCTCCTGACAGCACCTGCGGAGAGGTGGCAAGGCGGGGATAAGAGCAAGGGGGAAGCAGGAGGAGAGGAGGAGGGGGTAGATGCACCAGCGTCTGCCTCAACGCGTGCAGTGCCTTGTATATGGCTCCTGACAGCACCTGCGATGGGGAGGAAAGGATATGGGAGGGAATGAAGGTCAGGGAGTAGGGTCAGAACGGGGGGGAGGAAGGGGATGAGGTTCAGGGAGCAGGTAAGGGGGAGTAGGGGAGCTGATAGATTTAAGACGGTTGATCCGTCACATCTCATCTCATCTCATCTCATCTCAGCTCAGCTCAGCTCAGCTCAGTTCGGCTCAGCTCAGCTCACCACGTCAGCCGCCTGTTTGGGCGGCGAGAAGGGTGCAGCAGAGTCCACAGCAGCAGCAGCCGCAGCAGCCATCTGCTGGAAATGCATCGACCCCTTCCCTGCCACACTTGCTCCCCCTCCTCCCCCTGCTCCCCCTGCTCCCTCTGCTCCTTCCGTTCGACCCACTCCCCCACCCTCCCCAGAAGGGAACCCCCTGTTACCGGCACCAGACCATCTCACATCACCGTCAGCACCATAATCATTATCAATCTCATCAGCCCATGCGTCTGCTTCCACACCACCTCCCCCTCCCATGCTGCCAGCTGTAGACGCATTGGCAGCACCGGTAGTGCCTTTCCTGGTGGTGTTGCCACCGCTGGTTCTGGTTTGCCTCCTGCCCCTGCTGCCTGCGGCTTTGCCTGCGCCGGGGGCAGCAGCAGGTGATGTGGTTCTGCCTGCACCAGTTGACGCCTGTGCGGAGTCAGGCCGCTTCTGAACTGGGAAGCTGTGGTGGGAGTGGGCATATGTAAGTGGATAAGCTCTTGAACGGTGAACTACTGAAATGGAAGAAAATATTATCTTGTTTCAGAACTGTGTGCGTGTGTGTGTGTGTGTGTGTGGAACTTGGCTAGCTGTTTGTGTAACATGGATACAGGCGCATGCCTGAGCGTGAGTGGGCTGTCAGATGAGCCGACTGAAAAAGCTGTGTTCACTCAGCTGAAGAGAGCGGGCATGGGAATGTACCTGAGTGTGAGGTGGAGCTTCCCTGAGAATATCGCCTCTGCCTTGCTGTCGCTCACCTGCAGACAGTATCAATGAGGACGGGAATGAATGAGCTGCAACCACACGCTCATAACGCACTCAGCCAACCACTCGTGCCATTTGCAGGCAGGCTCTTCAACCCAACAGAGACTCCCACAACAGTGCGGCACCAACGCTCACCCGGAGCAGCGAGGAGATCGAGCCGTATGCTTCGCTCTTGTTGATGTCTTCCCGCACCACCTCCACACACACCAGGTGCCGCACCACTCTCTCCATGTCCCTCCGGCTCCAACCCCCCTTCTGAACCATCACAAGCAATCCTTCCTTGTCCCCGTTTGCAGATACCTGGAGAGGAACACGCACTCACCCGGAGTAGAGACGAGATCGACCCGTATGCTTCGCTCTTGTTGATGTCTTCCCTCACCACATCCACACACACCAGATGCCGCACCACTCGCTCCATGTCCCTCCGGCTCCACCCCCCTGCCGCCCCACCCTCCTCGTCGCCACCACCTGCCTTGTTCTCCTCTGCCATTCGCTGCGCCAGAGCTGTGTGCCCGTTGCGCTTCACCTGGTGCAGGGAGGTGGAGAGCGGGGGAAGAAGGTTAAATTACAGTCTGCGTCCCCACTGCCCTCCTCATCGCCCCCACCCGCTTTGTTCTCCTCCGCTATGCGCTGCGCCAGAGCTGTGTGCCCGTTGCGCTTCACCTGGCGTGATGGGGGGGGGGGGGATGAAGGGTATGTTACAAGCTGCGTCCCCACCGCCCTCCCCATCCCCACCGCCCGCTTTGTTCTCCTCTGCCATGCGCTGCGCCAGAGCTGTGTGTCCGTTGCGCTTCACCTGGCGTGATGGGAGGGGAAGGAAAGGGGATGTTACAGGCTACGTCTTTCCCACCGCCCAGCGCTACCTGTCCCCACCGCCCCCCTTGTTCTCCTCCGCCATGCGCTGCGCCAGAGCTGTGTGCCCATTGCGCTTCATCTGGAGCAGTGAAGTGGTGGCAAGGGAAGGGACGGGGAGGGGAGGGGAGGGAGGGGAAAGGGAGAGTTGGTGGGGGGTACTGGGAGGAACATGGGAAGGGCGTTGTAGTGAGGAGGGGACCCGAGCGAGAGAGGGGACAGGGCAGCAGGAGATGTGGCGTGGGTGATTGGATTCTGGAACCAGGCAGGAAACCAGGAGCAATTTCAGAACAGCCTTTGTGTCAAACGAGATTCTTGGGCAACAGAAGGAGCATTTGAGGAAAGGATGTGCCCGATAATATTCTTCTTGAACATGCCTGCATTGGAGGAAACGAGCTCTCAGCTCTGCCTGCACTGTACCTCTGGCAAAGCGGCGCGGCAAATGAAGCCACGGCTGCTCAGGTCGTTTGCCACGGCAAATGAGAGCAGGCACCAGCCACTCCATACCTGAGCACTGGCAGAACCGCGCAGGAGGTCGAGAATGTACTGCTGTGTGACGCTCACCCGTCGCACATATGAAGGATATTTCTAGTGAGGGATTCAGCTGCCCAGGCACCATACCACATGCACTGTGTACCTGGGCACTGGCAGAGCCGCGCAGGAGGTCGAGGATGTATTGCTGCGTGTGGCGCTCACCCGTCTCACGAATGAGAGATATCTGGAGAGAGAAGGCACATGGGAGTTGCGGAGAGGGGAGAGTGAGTCACAGGGATGAGAAGGGGGACGCGTAGACAGGTTCAACCAGAACTCAAAAGGGTTAGACTCAGAAGTCCTTGCAACTCACAATGCGCATAGCCAGGCGGGTAATATCTCGGGGAGCGGAGGCAACGTCCCAGCAGTAGTTGTCACAGGAGTGGTGGCGGCAGTGTCAAAGCGCTCCCAGACTCACAACTCACAACTCGACTAGGCAACGTCCTGGCAGCAATTGTCGCAGGAGCGGCGGCAGTGGGTGGGGTCAAAGCACTTCCAGACTCACAACTCACAACTCGACTAAACTCATTTCAACTCACAATGCGCATGGCCAGGCGAGTGATATCTCTAGGCGCAGAGGCAACGTCCCGGCAGCAGTTGTCGCAGGAGCGGCGGCAGTGGGTGGGGTCAAAGCGCTTGCCCACTCACTACGCACAACGTGACTGACAAGTCCCTTCGACTCACAATGCGCATGGCCAGGCGTGTAATGTCTTTTGGAGCGGAGGCAACGTCCCAGCAGTAGTTGTCACAGGAGCGGCGGCGGCAGTGTCAAAGCGCTCCCAGACTCACAACTCACAACTCGACTAAACTCATTTCAACTCACAATGCGCATGGCCAGGCGAGTGATATCTCTAGGCGCAGAGGCAACGTCCCGGCAGCAGTTGTCGCAGGAGCGGCGGCAGTGGGTGGGGTCAAAGCGCTCGCCCACTCACTACGCACAACGTGACTGACAAGTCCCTTCGACTCACAATGCGCATGGCCAGGCGTGTAATGTCTTTTGGAGCGGAGGCAACGTCCCAGCAGTAGTTGTCACAGGAGCGGCGGCGGCATTGTCAAAGCGCTCCCAGACTCACAACTCACAACTCGACTAAACTCATTTCAACTCACAATGCGCATGGCCAGGCGAGTGATATCTCTAGGCGCAGAGGCAACGTCCCGGCAGCAGTTGTCGCAGGAGCGGCGGCAGTGGGTGGGGTCAAAGCGCTCGCCGAAGTGGGAGAGCTGCACCGTGCGCCTGCAGTCCACATCATTCTCACAGTATGCCACCTGGAAAGGTGGAGGGGAAAGGGGAATGGGGAAAGGGGAATGGGGAGAAGTTGGAAGGGGAGGGATGCGTGGAGGAGGGTGCACATGTGTGAGTCAGCACTGCTGTCGTTCTTAGTGTATGGTGGATGTGGAAGAGTGTGAGCAGCGTGCTGACTCACGATGCAGTATGCGACTCACCGTGTGGTGCTGCTGACTCATCCTGCAGTGCATCTGACTCATCATGCAACAAAGATGACTCACCATGCGGTGAAGGTTGTCCAGGTTCGTTTCCAGCTGCTGCTGTGGCCCCATGCCTCCTCTCCCCCCCGCCCCTCCGCCCCTCCCACCTGCCGCCTCTGCTGCTCCCTGCAGCAGCATGTGCTTCACTCGCGCCTAGGACGAGGGGCGAGGAGGGAAAACGTTAGGGGAAAAGACGGGGGAGTGTGAATGGAAACTTGAAGTAGGTGAGGTGAAGTGCAATAACAGGCCCTATCCATCATCTGCTCCCTGCAGCAGCATGTGCCTCACCCGGGCCTAGGACGAGGGGCGAGGAGAGGAGCAAGATGAAAGGAAGGGGGGTTGTGAGAGGAGTGAAGGAAAAACAGGCAGTCTAACGGCTCGCTTCAGCAACTTGGGTATGAGCTCACATCGGAAACAAGAGAGCCTTACACAACGGCATCTTCAAAGTGACGTCACAAAAACGACGACATGACGTTCAAAGTGAAACAGCTTGAGCTCAAATTATACAAGACTCGTTTAGTTCAGCGCACTAATCTAGTGAGATGTTGTCCAGTTAACTCACATAATCCCCGTAGCTATACATGAGAACGCAGGTGGCAGGCAAGTTGTCTCTCCCTGCTCGCCCCGACTCCTGCAGCGCAGTGCAGCAGCTTGAAATTCACAGAACATGCGAGTGAGACAGCAGAGTGAGTTCGCCACTCTTGAAGCAGCATTTGCCTTGACGAACAGAGGTGGGTGGAAAGAGAACAGAGCAACCAGTGAACTGAACGGGTGTTTTTCTCTTTTCTCCCAATAGAAACGAGTGGTAATGAGCAACACAGTGCGGTTTAGAGCGGTGCAGATCTGACCTGGTGGTAGCCCTCGATGCTCTTTGGGAGGGAGTGGTGGATGACGAAACGAACATCAGGCTTGTTAATGCCTGCCGTGAGGGGGGGAAGGGGGGGAATGGGGAGAAGGGGAAAAGGATGTGAGAAAGCGACGTTGCAAGAGTTGCGAAAGGCAAAAGGCCACAATCCCTCCCAGACCCACCCATGCCAAAAGCACCACTCCCACTCCCACACCCACCCATGCCGAACGCGACAGTGGCACAGATGACGTTGATCTCGTCCTTGCTCCACCTCCTCTGCACGTCTGCCCGCTCGCCTGCTGCCATGTTGGCATGATAGAACCCCGCCCTGTGCCCCAGCTTCTGCACCATGCCACATGCCATGCCATGCAGATTGGAGGATAAGAGTGAGTGGAGGCGAGAGGTTGGGCTTGTGAGACGTCTCAAAAGTCAGCTTCTTCTCCTCTGCACGTCTGCCCGCTCGCCTGCTGCCATGTTGGCATGATACAACCCCGCCCTGTGTCCCAGCTTCTGCCAAACCACACACCATGCCATGTAAGACCACACCATGCGATGCCATGCCACACCATGCAATGCCATGCCACACCATGCGATGCCATGCCTTGAGAGGCAGTACACGATGCCTGACTCCCGGAAGAACTGATTCTGATGTGAGCTACGCAGAGCTGTGACTTGTTGTGAGCACAACTCAACTCACAGTGAGCTGTTCAGCAGTCTTCTCACAGTCGTTGCGGGACAGGCAGTACACGATGCCTGACTCCCGGAAGAACCCGCTGCTGCGGATGAAAGAGTCTATGTCGTCCATGCACCGCCGCCCCTTCGCCCTCACCTCGTACCTGTGTGGTGCAGTGCGGTGAGGTGGGGTAATGGGGGCACAGACGCACGAAGCATGGGTGGGTGAGGCACATGGGCGCACAGAGTCAATGCTGTGTCCTCCATGCACCAGCCCTTAGTTGGGGCGATTGATTGAAGGTCTGCTTACAGACAGCACATTGTTTGAGGTCAGAGCGCTGTGACGTGACCACCATCACAGGCACTCTGTGTTCTAAACCGTCTCAAGAAAAGCCTCATCACACAACTATTCCCCGTCACCCTCACCTGAGGTTGGGGCGGTTGAAGGTCTGTTTGAAGACCACGCACTGCTTGAGGCACAGCGCGCTGACCACATCCGCCTGCACTGCATGGGTGGCCGTGGCTGTCAGCGCCATGAGAGGCACCGATGGGAACTTGCTCTTTAGCACTCCCAGGCCCTGATGGAGTAGGGGAGAGGGGAGAGGGGCGTGGGGACATGCTCTTGAGCGCTGCATGGGTGGCCGTGGCTGTCAGCGCCATCAGAGGAACCGACGGGAACTTGCTCTTCAGCACTCCCAGGCCCTGATGGAGGAGGAGGAGATAGGGGGGCACGCCCAACCCATGGTGGAGTGGAGGAGGGGAGAGGAGGGGTGGGGGCTTGCTCTTCAGCCTGCACTGCATGGGTGGCCGTGGCTGTAAGCGCCATGAGAGGTACCGATGGGAAATTGCTCTTTAGCACTCCCAGGCCCTGGTGGACGGGGGGGGGGGAGAGGCGTGGGGACTCGTTCTTGAGCACTGCATGTGTGGCTGGGGCTGTCAGCGCCATCCGTGGCACCCAGGGGAACTTGCTCTTCAGCACTCCTAGGCCCTGGTGATGAGGGCGGGAAGAGCGCAGGGCAAGTGTGCATATGCACCCTTGCCCACTTGCCCTGCGCTCTTCCCGCCCTCATGAGTTTCAAGTGACGAGTTACAAAGGAACGACCGACTTACGCGAAGGAGGGTGCATTCACCAGCGCACACCAGCGGCTCACCCTTGAGTCAATCCGGTTTCACTCGACCCCACCCGGTCGCTTGCAATTATCCGTACCTTCACTCAAACACTGATCACTTTACTTCAATCATCTCGCCTCACACCCACACGCACCTGGTAGTCGGGGCAAAAGTCATGCCCCCACTGGCTCACACAGTGCGACTCATCAACCACCATGCGCACACCAGCCAGCCACCCTTGAGTAAAATCACCTCTACTCGACTTGATCCATTCCCACACTCCTTTCACTTCCCCCACTCACTGCCCAGCTCACACGGGGCACACCTGGTAGTCGGGGCGGAAGTCATGCCCCCACTGGCTCACACAGTGCGCCTCATCCACCACCATGCGCACCAGCAGATCACTCTTGAGCCTCTTCAGCCAACTCATCTCTACCCCACTTCAACCATTCCCACACCTGGTAGTCGGGTCGAAAGTCATGCCCCCACTGGCTCACACAGTGCGCCTCATCCACCACCATGCGCACCAGCAGATCCCTCCGGTACAGCCCCTCCAGATGCCGAAACAGGTTGTCGCTCCTGTGAGAAGGACCAATACGGAATCGGGAGAGAGTGCGTGAAGGCGGTGGGTGAAGGATGTTGATTGCAATGGGGGGAAGTGAGATGCTCCAGGACGTCTTGAGTCTTGCCACGCAAAACTTTTCTCTGAGATGACATTGAGCAGCTTGACTCGGCACCAGGGCGACCGCAGCCTGGCCACCCCGTTGTCATCGCAATACTGTCCCACCTGCCATCACTCTCCCCCTGCCCACACTGCCCCACCTGGCGATCTTCTTAGGAGTGACATAGAGCAGCTTGATCTGGCAGCACGGCGAGCACAGCACAGCGTTACCTCCCACCTACCAAGTAGCCAACTGTCCCTCCCCTGCCCGAACTCAGCTGCCTGCCAGCAGCCCCACCTGGTGATCTCCTCAGGGGTGACGTAGAGCAGCTTGATCTGGCAGCAAAGCTTCTTACCTCGTATATGCCAACGTGCCAACACCCACCCGTCTTCCCACAATCCTCCCTTTCCCACACAACTCCCACCTGGCGATCTTCTCCGGGGTGACATAGAGCAGCTTGATCTGGCAGCACGGCGAGCAGAGCTCCTGCAGAATGCGCTGCTGCTCCGGCCACTCCTGGCTCGCGCTCAGGCAGGCCGCAGGGATGTTGTACTGCAGGGATGGGGTGCGGTGCACAGTTGTAGGCGTGTGGTGCGATGTGGTGAACGCAGTGAGGGAAGGGAAGCAGAGGGAATGCATTTGCTCCGGCCACTCCTGGCTCACAGATGGGAAAAGCAAGTGAGGAGGTTTGCACCATGCGTGCAGCAACAACGGAGCGGGAGAATGGATTCAGAGGGTACATGAAAGGACTGGGAGTTGCAAGGCATGACATTGACCTACATATACAACCAATGCAGCGAGCACGCAGAGTGCACGGCAAAGGGCCTTGATGAGCTGCTGGATGGGATGGCATTTCACACCGTATTACATGCACCTAACCCATCCAAGCTAGTACACAAGTCAAATACACCTACCCCATCACAGCAGGCGCACCTGTTCGAGGTGCATGATCTGGTCGCAGATGAGGGAGATGAGTGGCGACACCACGAGCGTGACTCCAGGCGAACACACCGCTGGGAGCTGACACAAAAATTATAGGAGGGGGGGGGTGGGTTGGGGGTTGTTGAAGGATTGTCATTGAAAAGCACATGAAGCTTCGAGGTACATGCTCTGCAGACAAGTAAGGAAGGGACGAGGAGAAGTGCAAGGGTCAATAAGGGAAGGGAGCTAGCAGCATGTGATGCAAACTTTGCTCCTGCCTTGACCTTACCTGGTACGTGAAACTCTTGCGCCCGCCCGTGAACATGACGCATTAGCATGTGCCGAAGTGCCTCAGAAATACCCATCTCTGCCTGCTGCCTTGGCCTCTTGTCACCTCTCACCTGGTAAGTGAGGCTCTTCCCTCCGCCCGTGGGCATGAGCACGAACACATCTCCGCCGCTCATTGTCGCATTCATCACCTCCCTCTGATTCGCTTGTTACCACCGTACCAGAGGCCCTTATGTCCCTCTTCACCCCACCTCACCTGGTAAGTGAGGCTCTTCCCTCCGCCTGTGGGCATGAGCACGAACACGTCTCTACCGCTCATAGTGGCGTTCATCACCTCCCTCTGATTCGCCCGGAACGACCGGTTGCCAAACAGCTTCCAGTTGTGCTCCTGATAAGTTTGCGGGCGTGGGAAAGAGAGGGAGAGGAGAGGAGAGAAGAGGGGGAGAAGAGGGGAGCAAGAGAAGATGAGCCCTGAGACGTCTCAAAGAGTGTTCGTCACCTTGCTCTGATTCGCCCAGAACGACCGGTTGCCAAACAGCTTCCAGCTGTGCTCCTGAAGGGTGTAGGGGCGTGGGGGTGAAGAGAAGAAAGGGAGAGAGAGAAAGGTTAGAAAGAGGAAACGAGAGATACGAAAGCGAGGAAAAGCGGAGAGAGAGAGGGCGAAGCGAGGAGAGAAGTAAGAGAGCAAGGGGAAGAAAGAGCGGAATTCTGGATCGCCCAGATGCTGATCTAGTGCCGACGCGCCATTCATCAGAGACAATTTATCCCTTGCGACTTCTGCACCCAATTGAGTTGAGCCCATCTACCAAACGCCTCTCACCTCCAGCTCTCGTGTCCATGCAAAGTCCTTGCGAGCCCACTGCCGGTCCGCCGACCCTTCAGTAAACCGCACCTCCGACAGACACACCGGCACCACCTCCTCCCTCCTCGCCACCTCGCCATTCTCACCCGCTCCTCCTGCCCCTTGGGGAGATGTGAGCCCTCCTCCTCCTCCTCCTGCATACCCTGCTCCCACATACCCTCCCCCGTTCACTGCTCCGTATCCTCCTCCATTGGTCGCCCCATTCACAGCTGCATATCCTCTGTTCAATCCACCTGCCACATGCATGCCTGCTGCTGCTCCCATGCCCGTTGCTGGCCCCATGCCTGCTGCCGGCCCAGCACCCAGCGCAGAGGAGGGAGCAGGAGGGCGGGTGGGAGGAGGAGACGACCAGGTGTTTCTGGGAGGGGTGCTCCAGCCATTGGAAGAAGGCGTGGGACGAGAGCCAGGCGTGGTGAAGGACGGGGTGGCAGGACGGTACGGAAGGGTGGATGGTGGTGATGATATGTGCGTGGCAGGTGAAGGTGAAGAGAGGTGAGGGGAGGTGGTTGCCCCGGTCTGTGAGTGCTGCTGCAGGGTTTGTATTTCTTGCTGGAGGGATTTCCTGGGGAGGAGGGTGGAGGGGTGGAAAAAATCATTAGATTGAGATGGGTCAGTATTAGTCTGCTGGTACTACTACCTGCTTCCTCTCCTCACCACCTGATCCCTCTCCCCACTTCCAACACATTCCCTCCACTACCACCAACCAACCCCCAAACAACCTGCGCAGTCGGAGCTCTTCAGCCCGCGGGGGCTCATGTTTCCCACATTGGGTTTTGTTGTTCTACGCGCCTTAAAGGTCGTCGTTTGAGACACCTCAAAAACTCACCCCACTACCTCGTCCCGCTACCTGCGGAGGCGGAGCTCTTCTGCTCGCCGGGGTCTCATGTCGCCCGTGTTGCAACTTCCCCCCACCGGCTCCTACCGTCTTCCCACAACTACCACCACCCCACTACCTGCGCAGTCGCAGCTCTTCTGCCCGTCTTGGGCTCATGTCGCCTGCATTGTCCAGCAGGTCGTTGGACACGTCTAGCAGCTCGTTCTTGCGCTCCTGGATGTGTGCTTGTAGCGAGGGGCACTGCACCAGCTGTATGTACACGGGGAGGGAGAGGGCGGGGGGGGGGGGGGGGGGAGGCGGCAGAATTGATTAGGAGTGAGAAAGGAATATACCAGGGTGCCTCAAACTCAAAGATCGTTTGACACGTCTAGCATCTCGTTCTTTCACTCTTGAATATGGCCTGCAGCGAGGGGCACTGCTCCAGCTGCAGACACCCGGGGAGAGGAGCATGGGGGGTTGCAATGTCGTGACAGGGTGCAGGGAGCACAGCACCGGGCACATGCTATGCGAAGGCATGGAAATACGAAGGGAGTGGTGCCGCATGGTCTGGCGTTGCATGGCAGGGCATGGCATGTTCTGGCGTTGCATGGCAGGGCATGGCATGTTCTGGCGTTGCATGGCAGGGCATGGCATGTTCTGGCGTTGCATGGCAGGGCATGGCATGTTCTGGCGTTGCATGGCAGGGCATGGCATGTTCTGGCGTTGCATGGCAGGGCATGGCATGTTCTGGCGTTGCATGGCAGGGCATGGCATGTTCTGGCGTTGCATGGCAGGGCATGGCATGTTCTGGCGTTGCATGGCAGGGCATGGCATGTTCTGGCGTTGCATGGCAGGGCATGGCATGTTCTGGCGTTGCATGGCAGGGCATGGCATGTTCTGGCGTTGCATGGCAGGGCATGGCATGTTCTGGCGTTGCATGGCAGGTCATGGCATGGTCTGGCGTTGCACGGCAGGGCATGGCGTGCATAGCATCATGTGGCACGGCTGGCACTGGATGGCTCAGCCAATTGGAGACGAACAATGACTCGTTAGTGGCACTCACAGACCTGCTACAGTGAATCAAAGTCACATAATAAAATGAAAAAAAAAGACCTGCTACAATGACTCGTCACACTCACAGGCATGCCGTGAGAGCATGGTTGCTGCAACAGCGGGGGAAGAGGCGGAGGAGTGTTCCAGTTAGTTGCTGCCTGTCCGTAGCCGTTGAGATTCTGCCGTTCGCTTTGTGGTTGAACACCCTGGTCTGATGCAACATTCCCTTGCTGTGCCCTGCTCTTGTCTGGTGTGCCGCTGTGTTGCTGCTGCTGGGTTGACTGCCTGACCAGCTCATCCACGTCTATGTCCTGTTGCCCCCCCCCCACACACACACACATGCACACATACGCACTGACATGAAGACATGCCAAGAATGTGCAGGCATGTGCACACACAGAGGCAGACACATACGAGCGTGTGCGTGCGTGTGCACCGCACATTCACCACCCACCTGGAACAGATCATCATCATCAAAATTACTTCCACCCTCCTGCCGAGGCTGCTGCTGCTGCTGGCCCTGGAGCTGAGGCTCGGCCGAACCTGCCTGTCTGGGCCTGCCTGAGTCCAAGCCACCATCTGCCACTCCATGAGACGAACCCGGTCTTATCCCAAATTCACCAACACCCCCTCTAAATCCCCCCCCCCCCCCCCCCCTCCTCCTCCTCCTCCTCCTCCTCCTCCTCCTCCTCCTCCTCCTCCTCCTCCTCCTCCTCCTCCCTCCTCCTCCTCCTCCTCCTCCTCCTCCTCCTCCTCCTCCTCCTCCTCCTCCTCCTCCTCCTCCTCCTCCCCCTCCCCCCCCATCAGCAAAAGATAAGTTACTCCTAGGGTCAGAAATCGAAGGCGGGGGTTGCGAAACGAATGGACGGCTTCGGAAGGAGGGAGAAGGAACAGGTGGTGCGTGTGCGGGGTGTAATGGCCTGCCAGGAGCCGTGGTCCCAGGCTTGCAGACGATGGGAGTGGGTGCTTTACTGGCGGAGCTCAGGGATGCGATGGCCTGGTGGGAGGGGTGCGGTGAGATAAGGTGTGGTGAAAGACGATGCTGAAGTCGAAAAATAATCGCATCTAATCAGACGACCCAGTATGACCGAATACTGATCCGATATGCTTCTATCGCAGGCTGCTGCATGCCAAAGAATCCGTGCTCTGGTGAAATTTTGAGGTGCGTCCCATGCAGACGCGTGCATCGTACCTGCTCCGCCATTCTGAGGAGCTCGCTGTTAAGTGGGGCGAAGGAGAAGGAGCCACGATTTCTGTATACCGAGAAATGGTGGGTGAGTGGGGAAAGGGACGGGTGGGAGAGCAGGTGGTGTCAAGTTTGAGTTTGGAGGAGACGGGATTGCGTTCAGTCTCTGCGAACTGAGACAGCGTTTATTTTACGGACTGAGACAGTAAGAAGGTGAAGGCGACAGATGCGTGTTTGATGACCCTGGGAGCTTCATGCTGAGTCGGTGCACTGCGGTAACAAAGAATCATACACATCTTTCTCATTCGTCGCAGTGACACGCGCTAGCCAATGGAAAATCTGACACGCACCGATCATTCTCAGCCAATCGTATTCTGTTGGGAGCAGTGGAAAATACGAAGTTTTCCCGCAACCCGTTTCCCGTCGCACAGGATTGTCGCAGCCATGGTTGATGCTGCTGCCAGTTGTTGCGAGGAACGGACGTCGCTCCTCCTCCTCCATTTGCTGCTGAACCCGACCCTCTTCCGCTCCCGGTCCCAGTCAGTGAGCTTCTTTGGAAACGATCACGACTTCCGTCGTCACCCCCATTGCTCATGCTGATTAATCGTTAAGAGAGAATCCGTAAGAGGGAATCATAGAGTTGACCGACGACAAAATGTCATGCGAATGCCTGATCCCTGCGCCATGACAGCCGGTTCGACTCTGAACGGCACCTAGCCATTCTCTAGTCATCCAATCATCGAATAGACTAACACGTTCTAAAGCGCACCGACAAGCATTAGTCTGGTAATTCACCGAATAAGATGCTGAGTTTCTGTTGACTCTGCCTGATGTCTTGCGGGTTGAAGGTGTTTGGCGACAAACTTCAAAATGGGAAAGCGGTGGCTTCTCACAAATCAGAACAGGCTCGAGTTGCGGACACCCCCTTGATATTCCCGTCCCGTTTCTCACAACACGACCACCCCCAAGGAGCCGACAGAAAAGCAGAGGGCTTGACGACAGAATCCGAAGTTTTGAACTTGTTGGCGAAGAGTTACAGAGAGAACGCACGAAAAAGGTGTTCTGACAACAATTCGCCAAGGCGCAGATCAAGCTGTGGCTATGCCGTGCAAAAGGATGTCAATGCGTCAGGCTGACGCTCAGCAGTCAACGATGCCACATCGGAGTTCCGTTAGTACGGTAGGCCAGTCAAATGCTTTATCCGATCTCGGTCATCATCCTCTTGGAACCAAGAAATAAGAAACGGATCAATAAACCACTTGTTATCACTTGGTGCAAGAACATTATTTCTCAAGAGTTGGAGGTTCATAATCTTCTGGAGGGGTGATTTGAAGGCCAACCCTTCTAGCTGTATCACGGAGCCTATCTTTGAGCTCAGCTTCCCTGTCGATGTCTATGTTGTACGAGTGCAGCAGACTCTGCATGAACACAAAGTACATGGAGAGTTTTGGGGATATGGGGTGGTAAGGATGTTACTAAATCATAGGTGTTAAACGCACTCAAGAGGCGGAAATGGAGCAGCACAGCTGCACCCTATTATTGTTTTAGAAAATGCAGGGACTTCGAGCAGGACAGGGTTAAGATGTGTATCGATGGATCACGTATGATGAAAACAATGGTGACTAGAAAGGCCATGATCAAAGAATCAATGACAGCCATGTAATTCTTGACGTAGAAGAAGGAAGATACCTCCGAGATGCTCAGTAACCCCTACCTATCAAGGAAGGACGCGTGATAGGATTGCACTGGCGCTTTTATGACTAGACCAGCATGACAGACGGAGAATACAGAAGGACACGTACACCAGTTAGACTGGTCTTAATCTTTCTAATGCTATAATGCTCGTTACCGAACCTGGATGTTCTCACCTTGTGCGAGTGGATAGCGTCGACTAGATCCGCCCAATCCTTCAGCAGAAGAATACGGCTAGCCCTGTCTACTCCTGCCACGGCAGCACCGCCATTCGCGGCAGCCTCTCTAGCATGGTCAAATGGTAGTGGGTCCGTAGCAGCCCCGTCAGACAAATCTGCAGTGGTCGCTGGGTCTGCGCGAACCATTTCGCGAATAGCATCGCGCGCAAAGCGGTTCCCGGCGACGGCAGTGATGTGGCGATCGGTGATGCGAAGAGCGTGGCGATAAACGCGAAGGACGTCGGAACGAGACGCCATGCTGGCGACAGTCTGCGGAGGAAGCTATATTCGTAGCCCAGTGCCTCACCACACGCACAAA